GGGGGGGTGGGGGGAAGCAGAGGTAAAGAAGGTGTGGGTGTAGGAAGAATGCTTACCATTTCATCCTATAAAATTAAAACAACATGAATATTCACATTGTTTTGTGATATAAATAATTATCATTTGAGAAATTTTCTACTGCCTTTGAAACAACTAAAAGGCAACGACTCTTTAACATACAAACCAAGGAAATAAATTTATGAGTGGGAGAAGGATTCTTATTCTTTACTATAGATGCCAACACTGAATACAGTGCAATGAGCCAACTATGATTCACTTTGACATTCTGTGTGTGTGTGTGTGTGTGTGTGTGTATAATTGTATACATGCCTGTGATAAGAACTCATTTGTTTTTTAAAGTTCCCCATCCAACAAAGCACACTGGTGTGTAAGGTACTCAAAAAGCATGCCCTTCTGGAGACAAGAGCCCAGCGCAAAATGCTTGCACATCTATAGACCTTGTGTGTAGGAAGACCCTGAAATAGCTCAAACCCTAACAGGCAAGGCATGTGAGAGAAACAGGTCAGGAGTCTCCTCTGGCGGTCTCCTTCACAGACTGAGAATTCACACAGTCTGTGGGAATGAGGAGGTGTGGAGTGATAAGGAGCTTCATTCTCTTATATCCTTGTGTTCATGTCTGTGTGTGCATCATAATAAGCCTTAAGAAAAGCACTAGGAAATCTCAGCCCACATGCAAAATGGTAGGAGAAAAAGGGAATAAGCCCTATGTGTGCTTATTGGGGGGGACACTAGAAAGTTCACTGCTATAAGCTCCACACATGGAAGTAGAATTTAAAAAGCCCACAATCTGCCAGGTGCCAGTGACTCACAACTGTAATCCTAGCTACTTAGGTGGCTGAGATCTGAGGATTGCGGTTTGAAGCCAGCCCAGGCAGGAAAATCCATAAAATTCCAATAAAGTACCCAAAAGCCAGAAATGGAACAATGGCTCAAGTTGTAGAGTGCTAGCCTTGAGCACAAAAGCCCAGGGACAGTGACCAGGCCCTGAGTTCAAGCCCCAGGACTGTATCTGTCTCTCCCTCCCTCCCTCCCTCCCTCCCTCCCTCTCTCTCTCTCTCTCTCTCTCTCTCTCTCTCTCACACACACACACACACACACACACACGCCCACATTCTGCTATTCAAGATGTGTCAGATGGCCGAGAAGGTGGCTCAGTGGTAGAGTGCTTGCCTAGCACGCATGAAGCCCTGGGTTCAATTCCTCAGTACCACATATACAGAAAAAGCTGGAAGTGATGCTGTGGCTCAAGTGGTAGAGTGCTAGCCCTTGAGCACAGAGAGGCTCAGGAACAGAGTCCCAGGACCAGCAAAAAAAAAAAAAAAAAGATGTGTCAGATGTCTCCAACTTTGTGTGTTGCATGGATGTGTGTAAGTATACAAGCACACATAAAAAGACTGAAGCCCAGAAAACCCTGTGTTCTGTCATGAATGGATGAATAAGGAAGAGAAGTAGCAAGAAGGCTTGCAGTCCTGTGAACTGCAATGGAGGGAGTGGGACTTGGAAAGTTCCCCCTACTACAGTTGAGGTGTATATAAGGGTGGTATTTTAGAAGGTTCTTCTCTCCAACACAGGAAAACTCACTCACCAATGAATCTTAAGTGTGGGTGGTAGTTGCAAAACACTCCTACGCTTTGGACTGGGAAGTAGTAAGCAGGTTGGGAAGTGGGAGTGCTGTGGGTCAGAGGCAGAAAGCTTCTACATCTGTGTATTTTCTGTATGTCTGCTCAGAAGCAGGTTCCCTCCATACAGCATCTCCACAGGCATTTGTAATGGCAGGAATGGAGGGATAGAGGGAAAAGGTAAGTTAGAAGGATCCAGTTATTTTTTTTAACAGAGAAGTATAATGAATTATTTTTTTCTTTTTTATTGTGAAAATACTGTACAGAGGGGTTACAATTACATGGGCAAGATAATGACTACATTTCTTATCAAGCATTGTAGCCTCCTCCTTTGTTTCCCCTTCCCATCCCTTCCCATCCTCCCTCCCCCCCACGCCCTCCCCCCCATCCAGTTATTATACCTTACAAGTGGCTATTCTCCGGCATGCCTCAGCAGAAATGTGTAAGCAGGAAATAGAGTCTAGGCTCCCATGTGTTTCCTATATTTGTCATTCAAGCAGCACAGCAGTCTTGGCTTTGGAATCCTTGTCCTGCCATTAATGACCATGCCTCTCATCTTACCACACCTGCATATCTTCATCTACAAACTGGGGGTTAACAGTAGCACTTAGTCCTTAGGATTATTGTGAAGACTGCCAGTGCTGAACTCAGCACCTGGGCTACTGTAAGTACTAAATATTAACCAACAGTGTCAGCATCAGAAGCAGCAAAATTGGCCTCATTAGGGAAATGTCCCTTAAAGATCCTTATAAATGTACCCAACCGCAAGAGTTCACCTTTGTCCTTATATGGGACCAGAAAAAAGAATCTGAAGGGTAATTAGTTCCAAACTTAATGTCTCATAATGTAAAGCTAAGGAAGAAAGAGAAAATCAATGAGATAGGTAGAGAGGCAGAAACTTTAAAACAATCATTGTTAAGCTAGGAGTGATGGAACACACCTGTAACCCCAACATTCCAGTGGCTGAGGCAGGAAGATAATGAATTTAAGGCCAATATGGGCTGCCTAGCAAGACCCTGTCTCAATTATTAAATTTTTTTGTCGGTCCTGAGGCTTGAACTATGGGCCTGGGGGCTGTCCCGCAGCTCTTCAGCTCAAGGCTAGCGCTCTACCACTTGAGTCACAGTACCACTTTTGGTTTTCTGAGTGGTTTATTGGAGATAAGAGTCTCACAGACTTTCCTACCTGGGCTGGCCATGAAATGCATGATCCTCAGATCTCAGCCTCCTGAGTAGCTAAGATGACAGGCGTGAGCCACTGGTGCCCAGCTTCAATTATTTTTTTAATATCCATTACTAGCCAGGCATCAGTGGCTCGCTCCTGTAACCCTAGTTACTCAAGAGGCTGAAATCTGAGGATCGCAGTTTGAAGCTAGCCCAGGTAGGAAAATCTGTGAGACTCGTATCTCCAATGAACAACCAAAAATCCAAAGTGAAGCTATAGCTCAAATGATAGAGTCTAGCTGTGAGCAAAAGAAGCTCAGGGACAGCACTTGGGCCCAGACTTCAAGCCCAATATGTGCATCATTAAAATCTTAAGTAGAACGTAGTGAGAATGGATCAGACACTGAGAAGGCCATGTGTATAGGTTTAAGAGGTAAGTGATATTGAAGTATTCAATGGGGACATATAAGAGATAGATATTAAAGGTGTGATTTGACCCATGAGGCAGAAACATGTGGTCAACAAAATAATCCAGAAAACTAGCTCCTAAAACATCTTGAGATAATGCATTCAACAGCATCCAGAGTCAAGAAACCCCCCAAAGTAAGGTATACATTCAAGTTTTGATATGTACAAGTGATTGTTTATCTCAAGGATTATATACCTCTAGTAATAGTCCTATGAAATGTTATGTAAGACCAACTCCAACCCTTTATGATAAAGTGTTGACCAGACAAACTGCATGCTAAACTACACATGGATAGCAGTAGACACTATATGCAAGAATATTGAGAGAAGAAATGCTGCTCCAGACCAGATGGGTTGGAGAGAACACAGCAACCAAGAGGATGGGAAGACAAAGATCGATCAAGAGGAAGAGAAGGTAGAGGATGGTATTCTAGAAGGACGGGAGGAGCACACATGAAGATACTATCTAAGAAGATACTACCTAAGAAGATACCAAAAAAACAGTTTGGCTACAGTGGAAAGTTCTGCCAGCAAGAAGGTGGTCCAGGTCATGCTGCTGTTCTTAGATGCTAAAATAATAAGTTGGACTGTCAGTGTGGTAAGCATTCACCTAGGAAAGGGAATTAGGTGGCTTGATGTTGTTCTCTTAATGAATATGTCCAGTTCATTGTAAAGAGGACTAAGATAAACCTAATTCATGTGGGTATGAAAGTTATTGCTTAGGATAAGACTAACAACAATATTTTTATTTCTTTCTGTGCCAGTCCTGAGGCTTGAACTCAGGATCTGGACACTATCCCTGAGCTTCTGTGCTTAAGACCAATGCTCTACCACTTCAGCCACAGCTCTACTTGTGGTTTTGTGATAGTTAATTTGTCATTTAAGGAAAACAGCAAGTACAGATAAATGAAATAATTTTGATTACAATATGCAAATGACTGTGCTGGATGTGAAACAGAGCTACAAAGAGTTACCAAAGTTTTTAAGTTGGAGAATAAAATGCTCTTCCAGAAGTTTAGTCTAGCAGCAAGTAGAAACAAGAATTTTCATTGGTGAGATCAACTTTTTTGTGTGAAAATACTGTACAGAGGGGTTACAATTACATGGGCAAGATAATGAGTACATTTCTTATCAAGCATTGTTGCCTCTTCCTTTGTTTCCCCTTCCCATCCCCCCCCAGCCCCTTACCCCCACCCCAGGGGAGATCAACTTAAAAGCCCAACTCAGACTGGAAGTGTAGTTCAAATGATGAGTGACTACCTAACAAGCAGGAAGCTCCAAGTTGAAACCTAATACCCTGTCTTCCAAAAAGCTCTACTAAATCCTAGCTACTCAAGAAGCTGTGATCTGAGGATCATGGTTCAAAGCTAGCCCAGGCAGGAAAGTCCATGATACACTTATCTCCAATTAACTACCAAAAAGCTGGAAGTAGACCTGTGGCTCAAATGGAAGAGCACCAGCCTTGAGTGAAAAAGCTCCAGAATGGACATAACAACAACAAGGCTCTATTAATAAGAGGGACTGAACTAGGCTAAGAAGAGGTGAGAACAGAAAGGAAATGATGGGGGTGGAGTGAGGAGTGATTCAGTAGATATCAAGAACAGGAACTGGCAACTCATTCTATGCAGATGAATCTTGCAACAGTCTTTGGAACAAGACTTGAATGAGAAAAAGAGTTCAGCCAATATAAATGAGATGAGCATGAGGGACACTTTAACAGTCTACAGAATTTGGGCAAACAAGCTAGGGCATGATTATATCAGAAAATGCCAAGCATTCCAGAATTAACACAGAAGATAATTGTTCAGGCAAAGAACTAGGTATTTTTTTAAGAACTAGGTATTTAAGGGTCTTAATGCCCTTTATTGAATTGATCACATTGTATATTGCAAAATACTAAACAACTGAAAGCTCTTTGCCACACATATACCAAGGCACTTAATATATATTTTGCTGGGGCTGGGGAGGTGGCTCAGTGGTAGAGCGCTTGCCTTGCATGCATGAGGCCCTGGGTTCGATTCCTCAGCACCACATAAGCAAAAAGAAAAAAAGCCGGAAGTGGCGCTGTGGCTCAAGTGGTAGAGCGCTAGCCTTGAGCTGAAGAGCTGAGGGATAGCACCCAGGCCCAGAGTTCAGGCTATACATATATATATATATATATACATATATATATCTATATCTACCTATATATATATATATTGCTACCTTAGGTCCTCAGCAAGCTACATATGCTGTGCTGGTATTTCCAGTATGAAACATTAATACTTCCCTATTTTCCCAACCCCTTTCTGCTCTAAAGCCAAGACTTAACACATGAGAAAACTGGCAGTTGAGTGAATTTTATTTTATTGCTCAAGGGAAATTTAAACAAATAAGAAAAACAACCCTGGACTATTTGGAAGGACTTTACTCATGAGCTCAAGTCCCCTCTAAAAATAGACAAAGTTGCAACATTCATTTGGTACATAGACTTATTACATCTTACCACTTGGTGGACTGGAAGACTGAATAGATTCATTATCTCTTTGTTTATGCTTTTCTTAGGAGCTGTCAAGTCACTGTGCACTACATTTCCAAAGAAAACCTACACTAAGAATATCTCTACTATGAGTCGCTTACATTGCACACTTATACATATCCTGTCTCGCATTCAAGTCATTGGCATTGTATGGTATTTTTCCCAAAGGGAAGATACTGACTCCCATTGCTTGGAAGCCTTGGTTACAGGTAAGTATTTATAAAAGAAATTACATATATGTATTTATGAAAGAGATTGTTTATGTTATATATAGCTGCTCCCATTCTGTTTGAAGTATTGATATTTCAAGAGCTCCAATGTGTCTAATCAGCAGCTATTCAAATTACTTCCCTTTTGCCAGTATTGCACAAGAAAATATGGATAAAATGTTTTACTAATTCAGGAAGATATCAGGGTGTGTCAGGTTTAGGGACACAAACTCCATCCTCCAGTCCTTGCTCCACCTAACCACCCACTGGAGGTGTGGTGGCTACTAGCATGACAAATACCACCTACATCTTACTCTGGACTTGTAAAATGTAAGCTTGTGAAGAAGCCTTGATTTGAATTTAGGTCCAAGATACTAGATATACTGAGCTGAAAGTTATATATTGACTTTTGTTAGTCATTACTTTCTCAATGGGCTAAAGAAGAAAAAACAACCACCTGTAGAACTCAATTCTCCTAAGCCAAAGTCCTGTCTGACTTGAGCTGAGTCTTGAAAACAAATGACTGACACTTCTGCTCCCTAGATCCTTCATATCAAGTTGATATGAAAGACTGGGGATATAGCTCAGTGGTAAAAGGCATATACAATCAGTTGTCAGGACCACATGAAGAAGAAAAGAACAAATATTTGTTGCCAAGAGGGAAGGAAAGCCCACTGAAGCCCTGTGGGAGAATTCATCTGATCTTAAACGTTTAAGTTTCATGAGTCACTGTTACATATTTTAAGAGAATATGCCCAAACTTCTACCTTGTGCTGCTATTCCTAGGGTTTATGCAGTAGAATATAGTCTTGAGTAAAAATCTTCTAGGAATATATCTCCTACTAGAATAGAGTATAAAACTAATTAGGATTGTCTCACATTCTTCACTATTGTAGGATGTATTATGAAATTCTAAATTCATATGATAAAGGAGGATATATACTAAAATTACACAGCTAAGAGGAATTTAAAATGATTTTATTAGTACATATTATTTGTACAAGAAAGATTTCTTTGTGACATTTCCATACATGCAGAAAATGTATCCTTATCAACCTTACCCCCTTCTATCCCCTCACACACTCTTGCTCCCTAAAATGATTTTAGGTACCATTTTACTGCATTTCTTCTCTTGGTATCTGACATAAGGTAACTCCCTCTTTCTCATCCTTCACTCTTCTTAGTTCATATAATACTATATAAGTATGTGACTGAGTACCAGTGGCTCATGTCTATAATATCTATAATCCTATCTACTCAGGAGGCTGAGATGTGAGAATTGTGGTTCAAAGACAGCTCAGGCAGGAAAGTCCATGACACTATCTCCAATTAACAGTAAGAAGCCAGAAGTAGAACTGTGGATCAAGTGGTAGAGTGCCTGCCTTGAGAAAAAAAGCTAAGGGACAGTACCCAGGCCATGAGTTCAAGCCCCAGTACTAGTACACACATACACAATATTATGTCTAGTCCCTCATAAAAATTATATTTAAGATTATTTATATATATAATCATCTCTCTCTAAAGTCTGTGTTTCAGACATCACAATTTTTCAACAAATTCCAAATTCTAATCTCCCATTCAAGCAAGAACATATTTCAAACCATTTATCAACAAATAAAAAGTTTTGACACCTTAAACACATATCTGAAGCTAACTCCTTAGTTTGCCAAAAGCAGATTTAAATTCCCTATAGTCACTTTTGTATCACTATTGCTTTTATCAATTTTACCTGCTTAGAAAACTGATTCTCTTTTTGTTCCCTCCTTCTTTATCCCTTGTTTTTATTTTGTTACCAAATCTGAACTTTCTTGTTTCCCATTTTTTTCTTGTTTTTCTTTTCTTTTTTTTTTTTGCCAGTCCTAGGGCTTGAACTCAGGGGCTGGGCACTGTCCCTGATTTTCTTTTTCTGAAGCTAGCACTCTACTACTTGAGCCACAGTTCTACTTCCAGCTTTTTGAACCCAGGGCTTCAAGCATGCTAGGCAAGCACTCTACCACTAAGCCACATTCCCAGCCCCACCGATATTTCTTATATATTCTTTTCTCTCTCTCCCCTCCCTCCTTCCTTCTCCCTCTCTCTGTGCAAGCGTGCATGCACATTGGTCCACAGGCTTGAACTCAGGGCCTAGGTGCTGTCCTTGAGCCTCTTTTTGCTCAAAGCTAGCACTTCACCACTTGAGCCACAGCTCCACTTCTCGCTTTTTTGAGTAGTTTACAGACTTTCCTACCCAGGCTGGCTTTGAACCACAATCCTTAGATCACTGCTTCCTGAGAATCTAGGATTAAAGGTATAAGCCACTGGTGCAAAGACACAGCTACTGGTATCTTTTTTTGAGACAGGGTCTCATTATGCAGTGAAGGAATTTACTGTAATCCTCCTGCCTCCACTTCCTGAGTACTCAGATAATAGGTGTGTACCATCACTCTGAACTATGCTATTTATTTTTAAAATCTCTGCTCTTGCAGGTGCCAGTGGCTTACACCTGTAATCCTAGCTACTCAGGAGGCTGAGATCTGAGGATCACAGTTTGAAGCCAGCCCAGGCAGGAAAGTCCATAAGACTCTTATCTCCAATTAGCGATCAAAAAAGCCAGAAGTGGAGCTGTGGCATTGCAGTGGTAGAGTGCTAGCCTTAAGAACAAAAGCGCAGGCCCTATAGCTCAGAGCACTGGTCTTGTAAGAACAAAAGCGCAGGGACAAAGCTCAGGCCTAAATTCAAGCTCCAAGATGAGAACAAAAAATATTTTTGTTAAAAAAAACCTTCTGCTCTTTTTTCTCTCCTCAATGATCACATATAAATCTAAAGGAGCCCAAGAGAATCATAATTCTGTTCCTCCATTCCTCTCCTGAATTTGGATTTAACACATTAAAAAACAAACCCACATCACATAGCACAAAAAGTGTACTATTGTAGAATTTTGGTAACAAAACAGCACAAAAAGCAACGAGAAACTTCCTTACACATGGAAAAACTGCTGCTCTCCCTATCCTTTAGTATTCAGGTTTAAACAAAGCCTTTAAATTAAAAAAGCAAGGACAACCGGAAACCCTTCCTCTCCAGGTCTCTAGGGAAACACTAATCTGAGGCTGACCCTGGTGGTGGAGAAAGTGGGTGGGGAAAGAAAGCTTAAATGCCTAGTATGAAGAATATGAGCCAAGGAAGAAAGAGATCCAAAATCCACTGGGGCCCAGAACATCTCTCTTGAATGCCGGAAGTTCACAGGAGTCTCCTTCCTAACTTGTCTTGCTGGATTCTTAATCTGTTTAAACTATTTTATTGCTTAACCCATCACCCAGCCACTAAAGAACAAATGCTCCATAGTTAGCTCACAGAAAGAACAGCACATCAACCACATACCCTACCATATTCTACCTAGTAGTAACTGCAACAGCAACTTTTTGTGGGCCAGCAGAACTTAATTAACTATTTTATAAACCAAGGAAAAATTATAGCTCCACATATATGCAAACTTCATAATTGCAATACATACCTTAATCACATGGGTAAGCAAATCAGTTCCATTAAAAATGCAACCTTGAAAAGTGGCTGGTACTTGCCTCAAGGTTAATGTTACACAGAGTTAAGACATTATTGCTGGGGGGGAGGTAAAAAATGAGGAAAACAACATGTAGAACTCAGTATATTGTCCACACCAAGTGTTAGGTAGAATGCAATAGACTGCCAGTGTGACCATTTTTCTCTTTTGACATAATCCATGAGAATGATTATTTTATTTTGTGCGACTACTAGGGCTTGAACTTAGGGCCTGGCTGCTGTCCCTTAGCTTTTCCACCCAAGACTTGGGGATCTATCACTTGAACAGCAGTCCCACTCCTGGCTCTTTGCTGGTTAATTGGGTAAGAGTGCCACAGACTTTCCTCAGATCTCAGCCTCCTGATTAGCTAGAATTACAGGTGTGAGCTACCAGCATCCTACTGAGAATGGCATTTAAATATATCTTCTCTTTCTTTCTTATTCCTAAAAACAGATTTTGGACTGTTAACCAGTGACACACCTAGATTGTTACTGAGAATTTTTTTTCTGTCAGTCATGGGGCTTGAACTCAGGGCCTAGGCACTGTCCCTGAGCTCTTCAGCTTAAAGCGAGCACTCTACCACTTGAGCCACAGGGCCACTTCTGGTTTTCTGGTGGTTAACTGGAGATAAGAGTCTCCCAGACTCTCCTGTCTGGTCTGGCTTTGAACCACAATCCTCAGATCTCAGCCTCCTGGGTAGCTAGGATTACAGGTGGGAGCCACCAGTGCCCAGCTATTACTTGGAATTTTAATGTGGGTGTTGAGTAAAATGCCAATCCTACAAACCACATAGGGCCTTGCAGAAGAAAATAGGCATGTTTCCTGGACACAGGTAATGTACGAGGGTTGTATCTAATCCTAGTGCAAGACACCAAGTAGTGTGCCAAAACTTGTCTTTTGTTTCAAATGCTTATTGTTATTATAAAGGTGATGTACAGAGTCTGGGAAGGTGGCTCAGTGGTAGAATGCTTGCCTTGCATGCATGAGGCCCTGGGTTCGATTCCTCAGCACCACATACACAGAAAAAGCTAGAAGTGGGTGCTATGGCTCAATGGTAGAGTGCTAGCCTTGAGCTCTTCAGAGCTCAGAACAGTGCCCAGGCCCAGAGTTCAAGCTCCACAACCAGCAATAAATAAATAAATAAATAAAGGTGATGTACAGGGGGGTTACAGTTACATAAGTCAGGTAAGGAGTACATTTCTTTTTGCACAATGTCACCCCTTACCTCACTCTCACCCAGTTTTTCCTTCCTATCTCCACCCACAAGTTGTATAGTTCATTTTCAACAGTGTCCAGTGAGTACCAATGCTGTATTTGGTCATCTTTTGTCCTTCCATTTCTGTACTCTCCCCCAAACTTTTCATTTAAAAGCTTAAAGAAAGCAGTAATACTGGGAAAATGGGAACTATTTTGATCTTTTTCCAAACTGAAATTTGAGAGGCAAAAATTATACATATATATATAT